ACCATTTGAGTCTTCAATGTCTTCATATGCCATTTCTTCTCAATATCACTTCATAAGAGGTTGCAATCATCTTTATCTCATCTATTCGAGCAAACACACCTTGAGCATGTGACTTGAACCATTTCCATACATATGAGTTCACCTCAATGGCTTCAAGTCACTTTCACTAATGATTTGATCCTCAACACAATAAGACTCCTCATAGCTTGATTAGTTATTCGACTCAATGTGAGCACTCTCTTCTTCACCTTAGCCATGGTACCTCGGTCCTCAAGCCATCGCTTGCCCTTCACCTTCGCTTAGTCCCTCGAAGCCCTTTCCTTGCTATCTTTACCTTACCAAGCCATACTCAAGTCACATCATATTAAGTATCCATTGAAAACCCATTTCTTCAATAGTATGATCCTTGCTTGAATATCTTCTAGATATGAATGTTGAGATCAATCAAGCTTTAGTTTGATTCACATAAAGACATATATGAGTCCATATCAATATGGTCAAGCCAATTCACGATTCCTTATATCCTCTCTATTTTGGCTTGACACTCCTAATACTCACTTCAATATCTATCTTCATACTTCTAGCTTGATCAAAGCGATGCAAAGTGATTTTCCAAATCTTTATCCATATAAGCAAACCAACATAGAGACCAACTTATATCCAATATGAGTTGTGTGTCCTTTGTCATTTAAACCTTTGCTTGGTATTTCTTCACTTATGCATTCTTGACTCATTCTCCAATCCTTGGTCAAAGCTAATCCACTATCAAACTCTTCTTGTTCATGCAAAGCAAGCCATTATTGAGATCAATCCAAAATCATCAACTCATGTCTCTTTTAACATTTGCCAAATATGCTTGCTTTCTCATGATACTATGATATTCCTCAACATAGAAGCCATTTCACCAACTCCATTTGCATTGTTGTCTTTCTCTTGAACTATATTGTTTCCGTGATCTTCCAACACAACAATACACAATTTTGGCCTTGATTTGAACATTATGTGGAATATCATCAAGTTTGCCTTCTTGTTGAACCTATATACACTTCTCATTCCACAGTCCACAAGTGTATGCAATAAACTCAATTTCCTGTTCAACACTTAGCAAACTTGTTAGACCTTTAATGGTGTTGTCATTCAATTCACCAAAACCCACTAAAGGGCTAGATGCACTTACATTGTTTCAATTTGAACTAAGTGTTAGATGGAAATTATGAGTACTAAAAATGATAGAACAACACATGGTACAAATTCACGAGTTGTAGTACATGACAACACATAGAAATAAGTGAAGTACATAAATAGTCTAAAAAGTATACCTAATACAATCCACGGGATCAAATGTTGCGTGCATGAAAAATCATATCTACTACAACATCAATCGTCACCACCCTCAAAGAACAACTCGTCGTCCAAGTCCCAATCCTCTACCACAACCTCATTCCTATGGTTTGGCTCACCTGCATTGGCGTGAACTGCATGTCGCTTGAAGTAAGCGGCCTCCGCTTCATCTACGGCCTGAGACAAGAAGGCATCCTCCTCCGCTTGCTTGTCTTGTGCTAGCAAGCCCGCTTCCACTAGAGCGATGAGCTCGCTCAATCTAGCATTGTCATCCTCATCCTCGCCACCCTCATCGGTCTCCACAATCTAAGACAGCACGAGGCGAGCACCTCTCTTTTGTTGCTGCTCTGCCTTCCTTTTTCCAACCTTGCATGTGCTACCTTAGCGGCATGCTCCTCACTACGGTCGCTCCCTGCATAGAGAAATACAATAAGTTAGTAATGAGAATAGGAATAAAAACAGGATACCAAAACAAATAAATATTCGAAGCACTCACTAGAAAGCGTAGGGAATCCAGCAACAAGGTCTTTCATGACCTGCATCTAAACTTTTTCCGCCTCCCTTGCCCTCTCCTCCTCTGCCTTCTTCTCGGCAGCCAACCGCCTTTTTGTGCTCCCGCTCATACCGCTCATTTGTACCTGGATGTACAGGGTGAAGCATACCCCTTTCTCTTGCTTTCTTACGCATCTCCTGTGAGTGTTGCTTAATGAAGACGTCGATGAGCTGAGATCCACACCCTAGTTTCCATCCCATTACTTGCTTCACCTTGATTGTATCACAATATTCATCTCTACCCTCGTAAGACTCCCATTTGCATTTTCTAGTGCTCTGTTCAACATAAAAAGATAAGTCACTACGTGCCACACATTCCAATAGAAGTTTTTCCAAAAGAATACCAACCTCATCATAATCAATCATATGGCCGCACCAATAGCCTATTCCACGCTCCGAAGGAACTAGGTCGTAATGGGCTTTAACGCCACATTTGCACAGTACTGGAGGGGCTGGGATGATTATCCTCTCTTTCTTCTTTTCCTTTTCCTTTGGCTCAGGCCAATGGGACTTAGGTCCATAGAGCCACTCGCTAAAGCGTCACTTCTAGTATCCATCTTGCAAAAAATGCACATAAGAAATTACATACAAAATACCTCAATTTACAAGAACAATCGATTGGTTTACGTACTTCATTTTTATTGCCACAACGAAACTGTGCAGAAACAAATGAATCCTCAACCACACCTAGATCTCCGTATTCACACAGAGGCGGGTTGTCAAATCGCTTTGATGCGGCTTTGTTCTTCTCCTCGTCCGTCATTGGTGGAGGGTTCGGGAAGGTGGAACCCAACGCTGTAGTCCTCGTGTTTTGTTGTAGGATGCCCAAATGGCTTGTTGAAAAGGAGGAACCTAGGGTCAAACTTCTCAGGCCCATCGATCCATCGAAAAGAAGTAGCACCTCTCCCAGTGCTACAAAATAGAATGCCAACATCAAAACAGGTAATTCATATGGAACATAAATGAACTATTTATAGACAATTACTTCCCGGACCTCTCTTGCAAGGATGCACCCGTGCAACCTGAACTACTTGTTCCTAATTGTGACTGTGGTAAGCCGGTGCACGTGCTTGAATCGAGGCATCCGGATACCGCTTGCCGAGCCTACTACACATGTGGCGATTGTCGTGTCGGACGATCCCGCTTTCACCACTTCTGCATACACCACATCCCGTTCATCTAATACAATGGAGGGTGCTAAGAACATTTATCCATTATAGGTGCCTTCCAACACTTAAACTAGACCTAAATTTAGACATACAAAATAACATCATAACATAATCATCAAAAACACGTGCACCTACATGTACACGTACAAATCAACGACACAAACTAAACACGAATTCGTAAACGTAATTAATCAGTCATTAGAATTTTGCATATTTTATATATATATATGTACCCAAAATCAAATTTGCTTCAAACTAATTAAACACCTAGGGTTGCAAAATACATATGACATAGGCCAAATCAATGCGTACAAATTGAGGAAGGGAGAGAGATGATACCTTGCTATCGAAGATCTATAGATCAAATCCAAGTTTTCAAGGTCTAATTTGTGCAATCGAGAAGGATGGACGGGTTGGAGAGGGGGAGAAACCGAGAGAGTTAGAAAGAATGAAGGCCAGCTCGGGCAAGAAAAAAGACCGTTGATTTTGAATTGAAGGTCGACGCCACAGGCGGCGCCGTGTCTTGTGGCGCTCTGCCAAGTCAAAGGCCATGTTGGCCGCATCTAGGAACCTATGACGCCGAGACGTGTTAGCTCGGCATCGTAGGTCATGGTGCTGACCACCAGGGTCTAAAATCGGGATTACGACTCTCAGGGGTGTAGACGTGAATTTTTGACAAAAGAAGGGCAAAAATGAAAAAAATCAGTTCCACTGGTTCCGCCACTGCTGGTGCCAACATGGAAGAGACTTCTGATACATGTACATTAGTGAACGCAAACTTGATATCCAACCTTTTGGCTCTTGTATTTAATTAATTTTGAAAACAACTGTAGCCATTTTTAGAGGAACAATGACGGGAGAATTTCACTAAGGATGTGTTTTTTTTTTCTTTGGACGTTCCTAGCCCGGTCGGACCATGAGAGCCTGGGTACCGAGGGCAGGCCCAGCAGGTGCAACAGCTGCTTGTTTGGTTCCATTCCTCAGCCAGGCTAGGTAGGGATCGTGTTTGTTTGCCACCGTAACTTGTTATTGGCATTACATCGAGCACTTGGTTCGCATGAGAAGTCCACCACCAGGGGAGAATCACGCGAGCTCGTCGTCGGCGCCCCATGCCAACGCCGGTGACGAGTGGGCTGGCCCAAGCTCGAGGCCTTCCACCTGGCGACGAGGGCGAGCACACCTAGCACAGCGAGCCCGAGCTCGAGGCCTTGCACCTCGATGCCTGCAGCACGGCGAGCGCGCGCACACCCATGGCAGCATAGTTGTCCTTGAGGGCCAGCCCGAAGAGCGCCCCCGCTGTGTGCTTCCCCGCCTCGGAGACCGACGCGCCCGACCGGAGCACCTCGACGAGCGCTGCCATGGGCCCCGGTGCACACGATGCGCACTTTGTTGGCGGGATCTTGGGTGACGGCGAGCGCAGTACGGCGAGCTCGAGCGCTTCGTCCCCACCTCCACCAAGGACGAGCGCGACGGTGAGGACCGGGCAGCCGCTGGACACCGGAGGCGGCGAGCGAACGGGGGAGGGGGAGGCAGGTAGCGGCGTAGCGCTGCGTACCGAAGTGGAGACGGAAACCGAGAGGTGACGGAAACCAGCGCGTTCGGAAGGAGAGAGCCAGACTGAGCGAGGCCCGGAGAAAACGAGGCCCATTTCCGTTTCCCCCCAAGCCTGGCTGCGGACTGCTTAAAGCAGCGTGCAGGCCTGGCCCGTGGAGCGACCAGGGAAACAAACAAGTCTACTTGCAGCCCACGAGCCTGTCCCTGGCTCCTGTCCAAGCAAACAAATAGGCTCTAAGAATTTCACTAAGGATCCATTTTTAGAGGAACAATGACAGGAGAATTTCACTATGGATCCAACAGCTTGGTTAGTTTTCTTTTTATGAGTACTCCTATTTTTCATCTCATAGGGGAAATGTGATATTTTAAGAATCCCAACTGGGGTCAGGTAGACAGAATGAACTCGTGGATCTTGGGCCTGAATGTTCGGGCGACGGCGGCCCACGCGGCCTGCGTCGGGTGGACGTCGTCCCAGTAGAAATGCTTGCTCGGGTCATCACACAGCGTGTACTGCCGCCTGCCGCTGTCATCCTGCTGCCCGCAGTGGCCGTCAGCGCTGAAGCTCTCGCAGCACGGCCGCCTCGGCTCCGCGAACCTCTCCGCCGCCGGCACGTCCTCGACGAAGGCGGCGAAGGGCGTGTTGAGGTCGAGCAGGAGGAACGTGCGGTTGGCCGGGTCGAGCGCGGCGAGCATGGACTGGAGCGCCGCGTTGTGCTGCGCGGCGCCCGCGTTGGCGAGCGGGTCGCACGCGGAGTAGTTGAGCGCGCGGGTGAAGAGCGGCGTGCACCCCATGGGGTGCAGGTTGGTGACCACCACCTTGCGCATGCCCACCTCGTCGCGCAGCCGCCGCAGCTGCTCCCGGAGCTGCCGCACCACCGCCGGGATATACGCGATCGCGGCCTGCGTGCATGCTCACTGTTCAGTACTAAGTAAGACAGCGACGAGATATGGTATATGGTGGTGATAACTGGCGTACGTACGCTTGTGCTGTTGTCCTTGTCGGCGGCGTAGGAGTAGTCATTGCCGGAGACGACGACGACGGCGACCCCGGCGTCGCAGCCGCGGGTGGGAGGCGGGTGGTGCGCCTGGAACAGGTCGATCTGCGCGCCGATGTTGCGCTGGAAGTTGCCGGTGTCCAGCACGCCCGCGCCGCCGACAGCGAAGTTCATGCCACGCGCCATGAGCCCGCGCGCGGCGCCCCTGCGCAGCTTGTACGCCACCGGCGTTGGCACTCCCATCGCAGAGGCTGCAATGGTGGTGGTTCCAATCCAACATAGTTAGCGCACTTTTCCAAGCAGGATTAAAAGCTACCACAACCACTCGTAAGATTAAAATAAATTACACTGAATTGTACTGCTGGAAAAGGAAAGGTTAAGGTTAGGTCGGAGTATATGGGGAATCTTTACTTGCCCATGCATTTCAGATGCATGCGCGCATGTGGTGGCTGTCTAGTACTATAACACACGAGAAAAGAATGCTTGGTGTGATGGTGTCCATCCATCGCGTGGTCTGAATTCGTCAGCTGATTGACGAAAACGCATGCATGGCTCCAAGAGATCGAGGTCGGCAGCGCTGTCGGCTGCCGGGCTTCCGGCTGCGGCTGGAGCTTGAGAATGGAATACAGTGGAATGTGGCGACGTCAGAGGAATGTGGGGTGTGCATCAAACATCAGTGCATGTCTGCATGTGGCTAGCTCGGTTGCCATGCCGCCATCGGCGACTTCGGTGCGTGGCGGTTTGCTAGCATGGGCATATGCCATACTCCGTATCTATCAAACAGGCCATCAATGCGAGAGAGGAACTCCCAAGGATCCGTCGTCCTCTCCTCTCCTCTCCTCTGGCCCTCTCCAACGCAAAGATGATGCAGCAGCCATGCCATTGCAGCATGGTCTTCGTCTCTTCGACATGCATTTATTACTCCTGCTCGCCCTGGCCAGCAACTGCGGTGGGGCTCCATCGCCACGTGCTTTAACTCGCGTTGCATTGCTCACTTCACTTCTTCACTACGAATAGCACAGGGGAGTACTCAACTGACCTATGAAGTCGGTGAGGACGCGGCCGTCGGAGAAGCGGCCGGTGGGCCGGCCGGGGAAGCTGACGCCGTACGGGTCGTACCACGCGCGGGTCAGCTCCCGCCCGAGGTCGCCCAGGTTCCCCGTGTCCGCGTACGAGTCCCCGAACACCCACACCGGCGACGATTGCTTGCCGGCGTTGTTGTCGCAGCCGCTTCCGCTTCCGCTTCCGCTCCCACTTCCGCCGCTGCTAGCGTCGCCCTCGTCCCTGCGCTTGCGCAGCGCCTCTGCCGCCGGCGTCCTCGTCAACGCCGTGAGGCCTGCATCGTGTCATGATTCATGAGTGAGGAATCAAAGTTAGGATTAACAAATGCTGTGGCTGGAGATGTTTGTTTTCCTTCTTCTTACAGATGAGAAGCAGCAGCAGGAGCGTCGTCGTCGACGTCGACACGGTAGCCGCCAAAGCTTGGCGAGGGAGGCGGAGGCCACGACGGCGGCGATGATTCGTGTGCTCCATCTCCGTCGCGTCGCGTGGCCCTGCCCTGCCCTCTCTGCTTCTCTGGCTCTCCCAAGGCTGCGCCTCTGTGTATATATATACACAGGTAGATCAGAGTATCAGACTGGCGTAGCTTGCCTACTGGGGCAGGATTTTTTTTTTTTGCTGAATAATATTTTTAAAATTAAATATTTGGTATAAACTTGCACCTTAGGCTTGTTTATTAGTACTAACCGGAAGCACACACACTAAACGCAACCCAACTCAACGCCAACACATAAGAGCTTGTTTGGAAACATTCGTATCCACGCTAAGGCGAATACGAATGCATCCAAATATGATCTAATTGGAATATTTTCATTACGTAATTTCAGATGCGCGACTTATAGGCTGCAGCCAGGCGTGTGAGCACAATTGAGGCTCCAAGAATACGGAGTAAGGATATTTGTAAAGACTAAGAACACGGTACTATTTAAGTGCAAGACTTGGTTTTGAGAGCATTTAGACTTAGTGCTATGACTTTCTTTTATCTTTGACCGTACTATTAAGGGGGGTTGAGATGGCGAACTGATCATAGATCAGCTAGTTGAGTTCCATGTGGTGGAATCTGTCCACCCGGGTTCAAGTTCTCGACTTGGCATGGGTGATCGTATTTTTCTGGATTTATTCCAGGATTTAACGGCGCTATACTTTTAGTGGTAGGCGACGTCCCCGTCGACAGCGAGGCGCCTGTTGTGACTTTGTGAATCTCAAGATCTGCCAACTCAGTCCTTTGGAGGTGCTCATATGGGTAGGGTTTGCGTACGTGTGTTCATAGGGGTGAGGGCGCTATGCTTTCAATGGTAGGCGACGTCCCTGTCGACAGCGAGGCGCTTGTGGTGACTTTGTGAATTTCGAGATCTACCGGCTCAGTCATTTAGAGGTGCTCACATGGGTAGAGTTTGTGTACGTGTATTCATAGGGGTGAGTGTACGTGCGTGTTATGGACGTCTGCGTTGTACTGTGTAATTTAAAAAAAAAGAGTCAAGATGAGTAGCTTGATCAAAGTTGGGGGCGAGTGTTTAAAACTCTGACTAAGTCAACTCAAGAGTGGCCCTAAAGAGTAGATGATTTGTCGATGCTCTCAGAAGTTTGAATTGGACAAGATACGACTTCCAACTGATTTGGAATTCAAGTTTAAAGTGCACCAGACCAGTTAATCAAAGGCCCAACAAATCATCCCGTGGCACTGTGTAAACTTGAACTAGTCGTGGCCAAGGGTACTTAGTGACTCACATGAGCTTAACCCTTAGCTGGTGCTCCAATGTGGATTATGGGGGTAATAGAAACTACTTTATATACCATGAAAAAAACTAATTGTCTCTTGCCTACTCTTTGTCCCAAATTTACAGTCGTTTTGGTATTCAAATTAAGTCCCAGATTGAATGTCGTGGGCCATCTATGCGGGTTCCCTGCCTATAGAAAGCAACTGCAACTTCCCTCAACTAGGAAACCTACCCAGCTTTATCCTTCCGTAGACGGTGGTGGTAAAGCTCTGACTGCTCTGTGCGTCCAGCAATGATGGCAAACGTAGGGGTATGTAGCCCATTTTCATCCTGCCTTGTTTGTTGACTTGTCAACCCAATGCACTGTATGAACATGGCATGCATCAAAATCACCATTCATCTCTCCCTCCCGAGGAAGGGAGCATATGCTCCCATCCTCGTTGTTGTTGTTGGATTTGCATATACTATTTGTTGGTGTATGAGCCTGAATTACCTGCCTTTGTTGCTGCTACCTCCGTCCATGAAAAAAAAAATAATTACGGGATTCGTGCCATTAAACTAACTCAAATTTAACTAAATTTATAATAAATATTATTAGCATTTATGTCTTTAAATAAATTTGTTATGAAAATATATTCGGTAACTAATCTAATGGTACTTATTTTTATCATGAATGTTAGTGTTTTTTTATATAAATTTAATTAAACTTTAAACTATTTAACTCCTCCAAAAGCAAGAATTATAATTTTTTTTTTTGGACTAAGGGAATACTTGCTAAACACAGATAGATAGATAGATTCAGAGCAAGTCGAGTACAATTAAGCAAAGTGGTGGTAGGTCTAGTCTGGTCTGAATGTCTGAATGTGTTGGCCTGTTCGACTGGTATTAAAGTCAGCTGATAAGTCAGCTGAAGTTATTTTGTTATGAAAGAAAAATATTGTATTGGCTGATAAATTCAAACGAACATGCCACATTGGGCAACTGTGTGGCGAACAGGATGCAGCATGCAGGCGTACGTACGTGGCAGATTGAATCGGCAGACAAGTAGAGAGACACGCCAAGAGAACAGTACAACGCAAGCTTCCAAGCAGCTCTGCTGCGGCTGGTGCTGTATTGTGATTGTGCATCCTCGTTCTTCTTCCTCCTCGGCCACACAGTTGCCCATTTTTGTCTCAACGGAATGTCCTGACTGCAACTCGATCGCCATATATAAACAAACAAGAGCAAGGGTCCGTGGTCGCCGTATCGCATGCGGAGAATCTTGGCTTGCAGGAATGGATGCTATGCAGATGCACTTGATGATCCCAGTCATCTACATACAGTCAGTCATAAAGCTAAGTAAACCTGCTACCACCAGTGCATATGCTTAAAGCGGCCGGCACTACTAGCTAGTTCTAAGGCCAGTCAGCTACACCAGCAGGGCCGTCAGCCGTGGCGAGGGAATATTGATCACTTGGAAATTGCGACAAACCGATACTGTCGGAAAGTTTATGCACGCATGTCGCCCTCTTCAGCCAGCGGCGTAGGGTGCGTGGCCCGTCATCACGAGGCCACACTGGCCACATGGTCCACTGGTAAACAAAAACTACACAAGTAGCAGTACTATGGTTAAAAGAAAACATTTATCATGGCCATGCGCCGATCCGTGTTGCGTTAATCTACGTAATGTGTTCATAGGGGTGAGTATACGTATGTGTTGTGAGCATCTGCGTTGTACTGTGTAATTTAAAAAAAACGATTCTAACTAGGACGTTGTTTGCCCGTGTATCTGTACAGCTATACTAGATATAGATCGTTACCCGGTAGGTAAACAGGATTATACTATGAGCACCTCGCATTATACTTGCATCAGACAAAACTCCTCTTAGAACATCTATAACAAATTACTGTATTATTACACAGCCTGTACCTAGGATTTTGTGGCCCTAAAGCGAAACTCACAGAATGAGATCCCTATATTTTTTTCCAAATTAAATAATCAAAATGTAATTTTGTTTTATTATACTATGGCATATAATTTTCAACAATAAGAACTACAATAGGTGTTTAATCCTCTCAAGCTAGCACTGAACAAACCACTAGAGAGAACACACATTATTACACTAACTAAGAAGTTAGATGAGAATGAGAATTTTTTAGATAATAGAAAAAATAAGTATTCGGCTTCATCCCATCAAAGAGAAATCAGACCAACTTATTACAAACTAGCACTTTAAGACAAACAAGTAAAATTATGACAAAACGAACTCAAGACCCAATTCTAAAAATCGAATGCCATCCAAAGGACGCAAAATGGTTCAATGTTGCAGTCTCTAAATTATGGTAAGCCCCCAACATGAGCGCTTGTCGATCTTCGTAATGTTGCAATTGGGCCCAGAAGGCATAAACGAACTAGGCCAATGTGCCTCCTTGAATAGAACCAGCAAAAGCGATTTAGGTCAATATTGTCAAAAAAACAATTTGTTTCGTGTTATCCAAATCAACCATAACATGGCCGCTAGCTGCACCAGTTAGTGAAAAGGATCGAAATGTTTTATCTTTCCAAGAATATCAAACGTTAAATAAGTTCTAGCATTTTGAGGTGCTTTGATTCCTAACACTATATTATCCTCGTTGTAGTCGCGCCACTTGAGCCGTAAAACTACCTATCATCGTTTTCGTTTCTATCATCAGATATTCGCCAACTCTATGCCCTCCCAATATACGATTTGGTACCTAAAAATTGATTCCTTCGCGCCCGTGGGCCGTGGCTGCCCCCCTCGCAGCCTCTGGGCATCCTGGGCACATACGCAAGGTTGTGGTCAAAGCCAACTAGCAGCAACCCATGGTCCACAGAGTACACTGTACACGTCGCTTTTCACCTACTTGGCGTTGACGACATGGGCGCCGAACAGCTCCAAATGTCAATGGGGCTCCGTTCCCCCATTGCCCGTGAGGAATTCACCCATTAAGAGACGGAGATAGGATGAATTCTACCCCCACGGGGGATTAAACGGGGCTGAAGTTATCCCCGTCGGGGATCATGGGGGCGGGGATGGTACGCAGACCCTCGTCCCCGCTCCCTACGGAGACCCGATTCCAAAGGGCCATATATTGACAAGGCCCAATACCTGTGATATATAAGCAATGTTGCAACCCTAGCTCCTCACTTCCTCAGTCCCCAACTCGCCCTCTCGCAGCCGCCAGCCACCGCTCACGCTTCCTCCACTCTATCTGGACAATCCACGCGACCACGCCGCACGGAGATAGGGCGAGGCTAGCAGGCACATGCGGGCGGTCGAGCGTGTGTGCAGATGCATGCGCTGCACTTCTACAGTCAGCCACTAGGCGGGAGTGGTGGACTGCCGGGGCTGCAGATCTGCAGAGCTAGGAGCAGCACGAGCTGCCGCAAGCCAAGTTTTAGATTGTCACTGGTAAGCATTCGGCGGCTACCCCACTATTTCTAGCTATTGGTTTCTCTTCTCAGTGATACATTTTTTTATTGCATTCCTTCTCACGTCCTAGATTGGAGCTTGCCATTGGAGGTTGTTGCGGAAGGCATCTGATGCACAGTCCGATTGATGCTTTGAAGCATGGCCTTGAGGACTTTATGGTCGGATTGGATCCCGTTGGCTGTGGATGTGTTGATTTATAAATTTGTGATGTCTTTGTATCATGGATTTGTTTGTATACCATTAATGTGAATTCGTTAATACATGAATGGTTAACATTAAGATGAACTATCATGAACTGACGCGGGTCATGGGGATCCCCACG